TGAAGAAGAGTATAATTTAGGCTGTGACTTCTATCAAATCATGCACATGAAGGTAAGATGCTCTTTTTCAGAAAATTGAATAAATTCTAAACATAGAAAACAACTGGTACACTGTTACAATTTATATGAAACAATAGTACAAAAGTATACATGTTATATTTATATTAATATAAGTCTACTGAATACATATCAGTATTCTAAAGAGTCCTGAAAACTTGTATGATTTCATCTTTTATCTTTGTCAGTCAGGCATTCATATGGAATTCCATCTCTGAAATTGTGACCAGACAACCTTTACACATGACACCTATTTGTTTGTGCCTTTTTTCTTTCACAACATTTCCTTTGTACTTTTTTTTAGACTATAAAGGAAAATGAGATTAAAATGAGTCCTCCTCAGATGGATTATTTGAAGAATATAACTATTATACAAAAAATAATTTTATACATTTGGAAGATTTTGAAGAATATTTTTGAAAGTCTTGCTAAGTTTCTAGTTCAAGTGCCTCTGTCATTTTGAAATGACTACATATATATATAAAGTTTCCTTGAATTTTAAAACAATATATAATCATTTCTGAATGATAAGTGCCTATAGAAGGGAGATTATATGCATCTAGATTTGTAAGGTTTTTAGTTCATAACTTGAACATGAACATCTTAAGGATTTGGGGATTTTTAATTCACCAATAAAATAATAAAACCTTATGTAAAGATGTTTCGCTACAACTCTGTTGCTGTTCACTCCATACTGACCTGTGAATTTAATCTCCTGCTGTAATAATTGGTTCATAACTTTACTACACTGAAAGCATTATTTCCTGAAAGCATTTATTGTTCAACTAAAAGTATACAAGATTAAACTATCTTAATTGTTGACAAGAGAGTAAAAATATACAATGTCAGTATTCTAGTTTAGATATCACACATTCTTATTAAGCAAAATAACCAATAATATGAATGAGATTTTCAAAGTAAATCTTTTCAAATTTATTATTTAGATACTTAATATTTAACTGTAGTTATTGTTTTTGAGCCTATTTATTTCTGACAAAACCATTTTAGAACTGCAAAGGACCTTAGAGATAGTATGTGATTTATACAAAGTCAACCATTTGGACTATAGTTTATTAACTCTTTTCATTATATTGTGCTTCCTCCAAGTCAATGGATGACTTAAAGTTTGACAGAATACATCTACAAAAATATTTGCTATGCCTTATTTTTCAAGGTGCATGGTACTGTTAAGTAACTTGCTTTACATGGAAAAATGGAAGATCCTTTACCTTTAAGATGTAAACTAATTATATAAGTTCCTTCCTCTTGGTGCTGTTTTGCTCTTTTCACAAAGCAGGCTTTCATATACAATTTTTAGGTACCAATACTGTACACACACATACATATACATAATTTTAATGGCTTGTAGACATTCTACCATGTTATTTAACTTGACCATTTTCTACTTATTGGACCATCCCCTATTTCTAGAAACTTTTTTGGATTATTTTTCTGGGATATGCTCCTGTAAGTTGTACTTGCTCAAAATAATTGCTCAAAAGAAAATAATTTTTATGTTTCCTGCCATATATAAGTAGATTGATTTTCAGAAACATTTTCAAATTACACGTAACTATCAGCAAAGTATGACTATATCTGTTTCCCCACAGACCTGCTAATACTGACTTTATATAATTGAGATTTTGAGGAATAAAAAGTGTTACTAATTTTTTGATAAGACTTGAAATGTTTTTATTTTGAAATTACTATATATGTACAATAACTTCTAAATTTTAATTTATTTGTTAATTTAGTTATTTCTCAAACTTTCATAAATCAGCTATATTCATATTACAGCTACATTTCAGCTATATATTACAGCTGTATTTCACATTACTTGCTCTATTTTGTCTACAGATAGAAATAAGCAACATTACATAGAAACCAATTTGCTATTTCAGCAAATCCTATTCCTATCAACAAAGGATTCTTTAAAGGAATGACATAAGCCACAACCATATCTTATTTATTTTTCATAGCTGAAGGACATTTTAGGATGGAAAATACACTTGTAATTTCATGGCTTCCTTATTCTATTTGTAGCATATTTCATTACTATATATATAGTGATCCTGATATAGATCTCTCGTAAGTTTCCAAAATGTAAAATTGTTTCTTTATTGCTTATTATGTTACCTATTCATGTGATTTCAAATCCTTAATACTTTCACAGGTGATGTTCCCTTCAGTTAGTCAACAAAATATAAATTAATCTCAGTACTCTTCGAAAAATGATCTTGAGAAAAAAGCAAATATAAGAAAACATACTATCATATCTTTGGAAGAACACATATTTATAATGGATCTTTAGCCTGGAAATTTGTCATTTAAAGTATGCATTTCATTAATAATGCTATGCCAATAAAGTTCAAATCTTTTTTTATTGTTATGGGGAGGATGGATTTCACAGTATTGCAGGAAACAGAAAGCAGTCCATCTCAACCATACTCTCCTTTATTCTTATTAACAGAATTCTAGGCAATGTATTTAGCTGAAAAATTGCATTTCCTAGACCCTTTGTATATGGGATGGCCAATCCGACAAAAGAGTTGTTCAAAAGGCTTCTGGGAAAGCTATCATTGTCCTTCCATATGGTGATGGCTAGAGCTCCAGCCATCTTGGGACCAGGAGAGTAAAGCCAAGAAAATTTCAGCTCCTTAATATCATACCCAAATTGGGATTATCTTTCAGTTTAAAAAGAAAAAAGGTTTTGCTCTTTATAATTAAAATTATCTGTATATGCAGGTCTTTTCTTTCAGTTTAAAAAGAAAAAAGGTTTTGCTCTTTATAATTAAAATTATCTGTGTATGCAGGTCTTTTACATAATGATTTGACCCTAATAAACTATGTTGACTCATTTAGCTATTATCTTCTAAATCTATGTGGCCAGCTAACTCTAAAACTAACTACAAAAACCTCTCTGACTGAACAATTATTCACTTGATTATTGTAATGACTTTCAACTGGCTGCACAATAGACTCAGATGTGGAAATAGAGATTTACTCAATCCGGAGTAATGGTTTTCAAACTTTGGCTTGCCTCAGAATCCCTTCTTAAAACAGATTTGTTAAACATATGCTTATTACAACATAGATTACTCATCTCTCATTAGCAAGATTTTTTAATAGGTCTGGGGTGACATGTTCCCAGGTGATGCTGATGATTCTGGCCTAAGGACCACACTTTTTAAGAACCACTAGCCAAGGATACAGCTTGGGCATGGGTGTATTTAAGTAATTTAACTTGAATTAGATGGTCAAAGCAGTATCAGAAGCCCTTTGCTGAGATCTGGTGAGATGACAACTGTCCTCTCATTTCCTTTTATTTATCAGCTTCAGTTTTCCAGAATAAAAGTGAGGGCTTTGGGCGTCTTCTTTCCTCTTTGGATGCACTTTTCTCTTGCTTTTCTTTTAGTGTCTTTGGATAATGAGATTGAGTGACCTCAGGCAGTATTTCAAAATAAAGCCATTTTTCCCTTCACTTTTTCTTTCTGTATGCTTCATCCTCCTAACAACTGCTCTTGTATAGTGCTGAGTATTTATTATTTTCTTCCTCCCTGCTACATTGACTGTTGTGGCCTTTCAAAATGTGCACCTTTTGTGAATTATTTTTGTCTATTCTCCCATCCTCAAGTACAATATTTATTATCTGAGTTGTAATCTTGGTTAGGTGGTAGCTATCTGAAGATTTTTTTTCTAGTTGTTCATCAAAAAACATAAGCTGTTAATCTCTTTTACCGGTGGCTTTGATGTGGGGATGATGTTTCCCAGGAAGAGGGTCATGGTGTGCTTTGCTTGTGAGGACAGTCATGTAATAATCTGGAGTCTCCTGTTTCACAGGGATTCAGAAGTCTTTAGAGACTTTTTGAACAACCCACTTACCTCCTTATCCCTTCTTTAGATGATGAACACATATTCTCGATTCCAGTCCACCCCAGTAACCCATTAACTCTTCTAGCAGACCTAACCCTTAAATGCTCCTTTGTTCACCTTGCATTGGGTTGGGTTGTGGATGTTATTGCTCCTCGAGTTTATTGTCTGGGTTCAGGCAAAAATTATATTATTCGGAGCCTGCCATAGATCTACACTCAATATTGGTGAAATCTACCTAGGAGGGAGTTTGCATAGGGATGCAGGGGCTAGGACAACTCTTCTATGCATTACCTAATGATCTCTGGTCGCATAACTCTTCAGTTTATTTATTGTGAAAATGTCCTCAAGGCTTAAAAGCTTACAAATGCTTTCTCGTATTTGGGACAGGAAAAACAGGCAAGAGCAAAATGCTCTTTAAAGTTAATCAATACTTTTGCAATAATCAAATCCAAAGGCCTCCCCATAACTCTCAACTTTTCAACCTTTATGTAGCATTTACACTGCTGACCATGACTTAATCCTGCATATCTGCCCTCTTTTCCTATGATACAGTGAATAGGATGTTAGTAATATTATTGCTCTGCTTTTACAGTCTTTCCGAAGACTCCTTTGAATAGCTACTTCATTCTTCCTTAAATTTGGCACTTCCCAAGACTGCCTACATCCCTCAGTATACTAAAGCAATCTCTCCCTTGTTAATCTCAATGTTAATGGATGACATCCTATCTTCTTCCATTACTGATGGGAACAGGGAGAAGAAACACTGGGTCAAAGCTGAAAATGTAGTCAATAAAATAGATAAAGATGCTAACTGTAATGGTATATTTTCAATTTTAGTTTAAAAATTTAAGACTATTCTCCTTAAGAAAAAATTAAAATATTACAGATGAGAAAGTCTCCTCAGGCCATCACTCCCATTCTTTGTTCTCTAGCTCCCTACTCCAAAAGCAACCACTGCTAGTAATATAGTGTGAGTTTATTTTAAACATAAGTGGTATAGAAGTAAACATATCATTTTCGAACTTGTTTATTCATTTAAATGTTTTGAGATATATATATATACACGTATTTGTGCATCACTCAAAAACAGTATCTGATTAAAGTTGGTAAGCCATATAATTGTAATATGTTGTATGTGACATATTAACTGGGTTATAAAAGATTAAATATAAATACAGAATAATATATTCTGTATGCTGAGGAGACCCTATAGGGTAGGCCAATACTAGATGAATTACAGAAAAGAGAGGGGGTTGAGGCAGGTTCATGGTAAAATAAGAACTACAACACCTAGAGCGTAAAAACCATCTTATAATGGAAGAAACGCAACCCCAAGATTGTAGCAGTCCCACTTTGTGCTGGAAGAAATGCAACTCTAACATTCTATCAGTCTTTCAGTAAAATCAAACGAAATTACCAAACGGGTTCCCAGGAAAATCACGGCTAAAACGATCTTGTTTAGTCAGTTCCGTGACCTCCCCCATCTCTCCTCCTGCGGAGCGGCATCTGCTCCGGCTGGGCGGGAGCCCAGGAGGCCCTACCAGCCCCAGCCCTTCATTTCCGCCGGCAGAATCTCGAGGCTTTTCCCGCCACGGCCGGGGGTTCCGCCTCTCCTGCGCGCTGGAGGGAGTGCGCATGTGCCGAGCCGGCCCGCTGGTAATTCCCTGGCGGCTCCACGGACGCCTAGCAATGGCGGAGACGGACGCCAGCCTGTTGCGCCAGTTCCCGCTGCTGTTGCCACAAAACCGGGCGAAAACCGTGTATGAAGGATTCATTTCGGCTCAGGTACCCGCTCGGTTGTTGCCCTCTTGCTGGGAGAGCCTCCGTTTCTTTCGCCGCGCAGCTCTGTCCCCGGATGTCTTGTGACTGGAGATTTCGGGTGCCCCGACTCGTGGGGATGGAGAAGGGCGACGCGTGACGGCTCCTCCCAGCGCAGAGGCCCCGGACCCGCCGCCGTTGCTGGGCCCGGGTCACCGCCCGGAGGAGGCGCGAAGAGGCGCGCGCGCGGGCGGGGCGGAGAGCTACGCCCCCGTCCCCTCCCCTCCCGGAGTGCCTTATCCCTCCTAAACCAGCGTCTGTCCCGCTTTCAAGTCTTCCTTTTTTGTTGTTACAAATTTTTGCCTACAAAATTCTAACACCTCCCTCGTTCTCGGAGGTTGGTGGCTGTTCAAAGGGAAATCTATGCTAATTATATACGTGTTAACTGTAGAAAAACATTTTGAACGAAAATCTCATTTTGACTTTGCTAAATCGTTTGTACCTGAGCACATCCAGTAACGATAGTTGTTGGGAATCTTGACAGCATTAATTATCTTTGCGGATTCCCAGTGGCCTTTCTTGTGGAGTCTCTTAACACGTAGTAACACACGTGTACGCTTTTGAAGTTTACAAAGCGCTTTCCAAGTACACTATCTTACTTAATCCTCAGCCCTTTGAGGCAGAAATTGTTTAAAAAAATCATTATTCTCGCTTCATAGTTGAGTAAACCAAAGCGTGGGAAAGTGGAGAGGTTAAGTTTATTGTCCGTGATTGCAAATAGAATCCCTTAAAATCAGACTGATTAAGCTTGTGCATTTTTATCTTCTACACTGCACGTTACGTTTGAATTTTGAGTGCAGACTTTTGCTCCCTGACCATTCCACTCCACATCGTAGCTCCTCCTCGACCCCCTTACATACTGGTTTTTTCTTTTGGTCTTTTAAAATTACGAAATTCTGGAGGACAGCGCACCCAAATTAACCACCTGCAATTTGTAATGTGGGTCATATTGTTAGCAATACCTTCTGTCTATAAAATATAACACATAATCAACTGATTTGATTTGTGAAGAAAGGAGAAATTTCTGAAGAGGAAAGAAAAAAGTGTGGTTGTTTTAAAACAATTTAGCTTTGAAACGGACCTCTATTTTCTTGGAAAGTATGTGAACCTCTTATAGACGTGCACACTTTCAATTAGTTGAACTCGATTATCATATAGAAACCCAAATTGCTCAATTTTGTCACAATAATAAATTTAAAATTTAGTAATTAACTGGACAATTTGAAAAATATTGTAATGAGTAGAAATTTTCTATTCCCAGAGTTCTATTATTTTTATTTCCTGAAAGGAAAATGAATAATTGTATTGCCCCACCTTACTTTTAACACTTACCTCATTTAACAGTGCTCATCAAAACACATACTATATTAAAAAGATTGGAGGTAAAATTTAACTCAATAGTAGTGATTAAGTTAATGGTCTCACCTTTCAAACAAATGTGAATATTGGTTATTTGAAAGCTTGACAGTTTAACATAAAAGAGGAGCATATTTCATGCCTCTTTTTTTGAGGTACAGCTTATGTATAACAGTTTCAGGTGTACAGCATGATGATCTGGTATTTGTGTATAGTGCGAAATGATCACTGCAATGTCTGGTTGTCATTGGATTCACAATAAAGAATTTTTTTTTCTTTTGATGAGAAGGTTAAGATAACACTCTTAGCAACTTTCAAATATGCAGTAAGATATTACTAACTATAGTTGCCATGCTGCACATTACATACCAATAACATTTATTTTAACCGGAAGTTTGTACCTTTTGTTTCCTTTCCTCCCATCCCACACCAGCACAGTTTTTAAGGATATGGGCCATATCCTACCATATGTTTTGAAGTCTCCTTGAAACCTAATAATTTCTTAAAAATACTGAGTAATTAATCAAATTTACTTGCTAGGTGAAACTTATCTACCCCTAAAAGTAGTCTCTGTAGAACTAATGAAAATACACTGTTATTAGGAAAAGTAATGGACAGTACATTTGGGCTTTTTCATTTGTCTTCAGATTCATTATGACTATCACAGAAAGTAGAAGTTAAAATTCACTGTTACTCACTCACTGTTCCTAATCTGCTTTTTCCTTCCCCAGTTGGAAGTATTTGTCTTGAATTACCTAATTGAAAACATGATTCACTTTCAGATAATATTTAGAAAAATTGAAGAATATTACTAAGTTACATTTTTATCAGGACCTATGTTATGCCTAATTTTAGGAACTTGAAGGGAGTACTTTGTATTGTGTTTTTGTGTCTGCTAAAGCCACTTAGACAACATGTGTAGCAATCAGAATTGAGATTAGATGAAATTTTAAATTTTCTTAAGACCCTTGTTGTAGTTACAATTCTACTGTATACTTGTGTCTTGCCAATGGGTTTCCAACCCGGGCAAGTTCACTATGGATTCAATATGACCAAAGAAATGATAGTAGAACATTCTTGGGGTGAAAGGGTTATACTCAACTTTATTTCCACGGTGGCAGGTCAGTCACTAAAATCTCATTCAGGAGTCTGCACGCAGCAAGCCCGTCTCTCTCCCTCTGGGCTTCTGTCCTTGGTGCTGCCACCACTCCAGCCTCTGCTCTGCTCTCCCGCAGCCTTGCAGCCCTGCCACCCCGCCGCCCAGATCACTGGGCAGGGCTCTTTATATAGGGTCAGTAACAACATATGGCCCACACGTGTGTAGTGAGCTAGCCAACCAGGGCCAGGTGAAAATCCTGGCCACAGGAACCTACATTTTATCCACACTCCACCCCTCCAGGATTCTCACCTTTCAGTCTATGTGCCCTCAATCCTCTGCAGTGGTCCCTGGTGAGAAAGCTGGAGCCTTGTAATCAAATTCCATAATCTATGACAATATACAAATAACAGAAACTACAATAAATTATAATAACCCTCAAGCCTTAGGAGATCCATTGCCACCAAGTGGTCATCCTGGCTGTATTCAAACCAGTTCTACTCAAATGAGTTAACCAAAAGGACTGTGGATGGGCCTAAATACCCACCTTCTCCAGCCTCTCCAGCAAAAAGTCTTGCAGACACACAGGCCAACCTTGTTGCTTTATCTTTGCCTTCTGGTTTGTCCTCAGCAGCTGGAACTGCTGCTCTGATCCCAATCGATGCCACAGCTCCAGTCATCCAATTTCTTTCTATCTGCTCCTGCCTATTCAGACCACCCCACAGCTGGGTCCTCGCAACCTTCCCAGGGCCCTTTAAATTCTTCCTTTGAGAAGCAGACCGTATTTCCTTCTGTGCTTGCGCCTGAGGATAGAAGAGCCTGGAGTGCTCCACGACCTGAGGAGGGGGCTGCACCTCTCCTGAAAGAACCAGCCATTGCTGAGTCCTTCTGGCTTTCCACCAGCTTTCATCCAGGTGGGGTCTCAACTGAGGAGGGGCCGATGCCTCCAGCAAGGCAGGCCCTCCACCCCCACCTGTTCCTCAAGCCTCCGCTCCTCCATTTCTGGGGCTGACGGCTCCACATTCTTCACCTGCCCCACCTGGCAGCCTGCACGCCCATACTGCTTCTCGGGCCGCGCCTTCTTGGGCCACAGCACTTTGTAGTGATGCCATTTCAGTCAGCAGTAAATTTTCTTTCTCTTGGGGTGGACCCCAGTTCTCCACTCCTTCCCAGTACCACACGTCCACAGGGGGATACTCGAATTTTCATCTCCCCATCCACAGGTGCAGCTGTTGAAACACTCCTCCCATGAGGGCAGCCTGTTCTTTTCTGTGGTCAACAATGAACCCTGCCGACTGGGTTTCCACCATGGGCAAGTTCACTATGACCAAAGAAATGACAGTTGAACATTCTTGGGGTGAAAGAGTTATACCCAGCTTTATTTCCATGGTGGCAGGTCAGTCACTAAAATCCCGTTCACTCAGAGTGAGTCTGCATGCGGCAAGCTGGTCTCTGCCTCGGGGCCCCTCTGCCCTCACAGCCGTCCTCTGGGCCTCTGTCCTCTGCTCTCCAGCAGCCTTGTAGCCATGCCACTGTGTCACCCAGAGCACTGGGCAGGGCTCTTTATATAGAGTCAGTAACAACACATTGCCCACACGTGCATAGTGAATGAACCAACCAGGGCCAGGTGAGAATCCTGGCCATAGTAACCTTCATTTTATCCACAACTTGCCTTAAGTAGTTTATTGAAATCTTAACCTGAAAACTTTATTTAACATGGTTTTGTTTGGGGAAGCTGATTTTGTCTTGTATGCAATTTAAAACTTACAGAAAAATAGCAAAGATGTATGAAGAATTTGAGTATACTCTTTACACAGATACACCATTTTACTTTTGCCCCATTTGATTTAGTACTATGAGTGAGTATATGTGGGTGTGTATATATACACATTCTTCACCTGCTCAGTTTAAGTTGCTGACAGAGCCCCCTTTATTTCTGAGTACTTCAGCATAAATAACATGGGGACAAGGATACACTCTCATGTAACCTCAGTAGTTATCCAAATCAGGAAAATTAATCATAATATAGGACCATTATATATGGAGTCCAAATTCAGATTTTGTTAATGTTACCATTATATATTTTAGACTCCCTCCCAGCCCTCTACCATCTAACATAAAATTTTCATGTTATATTTGGTTGTCATGTCTCTTTAGTCTAGATTAGTTCCTTAGTCTTTCCTTGTGTTTCATGAACTTGACTTTTTTTTTTAAGAATACAGTTTGGTCATTGGTAGAACATCCCTCAGTTCAGATTATGCAGTTTTGGCAGAGATGACAGAAAAGAATGCTGTGTCCTTTTCAGGGTAAATGAAGTCAGTGGTCTCATTATTGATGATGATAAATCTGATCACCTGTTTAAGGTGGCATATTAATAATTAAAAAATTATTGTTGGCATGACATCTTTTTTTTCATTCTTTGTATCTCTTTGTGTCTTTATATTTAAAGGGGATTTCTTCTGGGCCTTGCTTTTTTATCCAATCTGACAATCATTGCCTCTTATTTGGGCTGTTT